AAAAAAAACTACGACTGGAAATTTAGGGTATTTACAAATAAAAGTTTCACATAAATACATATGTACATAAACTCATAAGTACTCAGAACTAGTCGTATCATAAATCGGTGTCGTGACATAGCCTCAAGTGGCATAACTCTAGTTTTAAAATTGGGGATTATGTCACTCCTTGCATAGTGACATAAACCCAATTTTTTACTTGGGGTTATGTCACTATATAAGGACTGACATATTTCCAAACGAAAAGGTGACAAAATTCCAAATCCCTCATGTAATTTTGCAGACCAAAAGAATTTGGAATGTGAAAGAGTAATGATAATGGCATTTTTATCAAAACACTGTCATAGAAGCTGGCTTTGCCTACATTATTTTCTTGTCAACGCCATTTTTGCCAATTTTTTTCACCAAAGGTAGTGGATTAAAAAAAATTTTTTTATGATCCTCGATTTACTAGCCCCGAAAGAGTATCTTTATTTGGAATAAATTTTTTGATCTTTTGTGAAAGCACCATATAAATATTTAGTAATACCGCTGTAGTCAGCAGAATTTGTTACACACATTGCTAGGCAGGGAAACATGATGAAAATATCCAACTACTTTTGAAGCACGAGTGTTATTCAACGGATTATTTTCGGAAAGCACAACGCTGTGAATAGCATCCGGAACGAGCTGAATTGCAAAGCGTATCTTTGATGGGATCCACTCCCCTTCCAAGCTTTAAGAACTTCTTTGCTTTTATGATATTGTTCCTGGTTGCCTTCTAATTGAGAGTGTCTTATGTTTATAATCAGCAATTATTTATTTGGCGCAGTTTCGCTTAATGAGTTTCTTCTCTCGTCACAAAATTTGAAAATTGACTTCTCAGCGAAGCACATTGGACAGGTAAAAACAGCAAGCTGTGTGTATTTTGTTGTTGGTTTATTATTATTGTTACGATTATCCTTGAAACCTTGAGGGATTTCCCAAATATCCTCCGGCTCGTATCGCTGGATTGTTAAATAAATGCTAACGATGACCAAATTGCAGTACAATTAACTTTATTGTACAACAAACAATTTACAATACTCGCTAATACAGTAAAAACACTTGACAATACTTGTTAAAGCTTGCTTATTCGCAACTCACTTTACTGGTAGCTTGCTGACTTGCAACTGACACACTTCGCTGTAGCGGCGCCCTTATATACCTGCGCTCGCACTTATACCAACTCTAGAACGTTCTAAAGTTTATCGCTCATTCTCTTTCTCTCGCTGTTCGCAGTGTTAATCCAACTTGACGTTTCCCTTTGTGGAACATTCTACGTCATTCCTCGAACATTCTGTCTATTTCTCGTTGTTCGCTTTGTGTTGCCGCAGTATTCGCCACACTGCTGTGCCAAACGATGCAAGCCTTTCCAAGTGAACCACCTTCATCTTGTTTCTTGGTCTCCCAACGGTCTGGATTCTATACACTACGTCATTCAGCCGTTTGACAACAGTTGCATTGTAGTTTTGGGGACAAACCTTTCTTCCGTTGTGGATTGTACAGCAACACTAAGTCTCCCTCTTGGAAACCCTCGGAGTTCATTGCCTTGTCATACCTGGCCTTAATCTTGTCACTCGTAATTTGAGTTCGCTGCCTCACAAGAGCATGTATCTCTCTCAGCTCCTCTTCCAGGATGTTGGACGTATCTTTCCCAATCCTCCTCGTATCGCCAGTTACTCCAAACTTCAGGTCACTAGGCAAACGGAGCTCACTGCCGAAGATTACCCTTGTAGGAGTTTTACCCGTTGTTTCATGCACTGCTGACCGGTATCCCATCAGGAACAAGGGTATGCGAACATCCCAATCTTTCTGATTTTTGTCCACGACCTTCCGCAAATGCTCTTCCAGGGTTCGGTTGAACCGTTCCACCATGCCATCTGATTGCGAATATAGCCGTTGTTCGAGTTTTCCGGGTGTATCTGGCACATCTCTTGGAACACCGCCGATTCAAAAATTCTTCCCTGGTCAGAGTGCAGCTCTATAGGTACACCGTATCTCGCAACCCAATTGTAGGTGAATACCTCCGCTACTGTTTTAGCTTCCTGGTTTGGAATCGGGTATACCTCCGGCCATTTGCTAAAGTAGTCCATAACCACAAGGACGTATTTGTTTCCCTGTGCGCTCATAGGAAATGGACCGGCTACATCCATGGCAATCCGCTCGAAAGGTGCACCTGAGTTATATTGCTTCATCTGGCGATGACTTCTGGATTTCGGCCCTTTAGCTGCAATACACTCCGCGCAGTTAGCAATCCACTCTGCGACCGATTGCCGACAACCAACCCAATAGAACCTCTGCTTAACCTTCTCCAGGGTCTTCGTGATTCCCAGATGCCCTCCACTAGGACCATTGTGGAATTCCTTGAGAACATCCGGAATTTTTACCCTTGGAACTACCATCAGGTTGCGGGAGCACTGGCCATCTTCGCTTTCCCATACCCTACGCAAACAGCCAGATATTAATTTATGCTGTTCCATTGTGCCCGGTACGCCTTTGCGATGGGGCATTCCGCTGCCATTTGCTCCTTAGTTGGCGTTCTGTCCACCTCCAGTCCATGATCTACCTTCTCCTGCCCATCAGTTACCTGCGAAGTACGCCGCCTATGGCATAACCACTATCATCCGTATCCAAAATAAACGTTGCACCTGGAACGGGATACGCTAGCATAGGTGCAGTACATAGCCGTTCCTTCAGAGTTTGGAAAGCCTCCTCCTGCGCCTTGTTCCACTCGAAGGCTCTTTTTTTCCTAGTGAGCTCGTGGAGGCTATTAGCACCGCTGGCGAAATTCGGAACAAATCGGCGGTAGTAGGTGCATAGGCCAAGAAAACTTCGTAGTTCGTGCAGGTTCCTAGGTCTTGGCCAATCCTTTACTGCTTCTATATTTTCCTTCGCAGTACAGACGCCCTCCGTTGTCACCTTGTGTCCCAAGTAGTTCACCTCCTTCTTCAACAGTGAGCACTTTTTAGTACTTAGCTTTAGACCAGCGCCAGCTATCCTCTGGAAAATTTCTTCCAAATTGTTCAGGTGTTCCTCAAAGCTTTCACCCAATACGATAATGTCGTCTAGATACACCAAACATGTTTTCCAATGCAGTCCTTTGAGCACATGGTCCATAAGTCGTTCAAAAGTGGCAGGAGCGTTGCATAATCCAAAGGGCATCACCGTGAATTGCCACAGACCGTCTCCAACGCTGAAAGCTGTCTTCTCCTTGTCCTCGTCACTTACCTCCACCTGCCAATAACCGCTCTTAAGGTCGAGTGTTGAGAACCACTTTGTTCCAGTCAACGAGTCCAGAGTGTCATCGATCCTGGGAAGAGGATAGCTGTCCTTTTTCGTCACATCGTTTAGTTTCCGGTAGTCTACGCAGAACCGCATTTGACCATCCTTCTTCTTCACAAGTACTACCGGCGAACTCCATGGACTCGCTGATGGTTCAATCACAGCACTCTCGCTCATTTCTTTTATTATTTGGCTAACAGTTTCTCGTTTTGCAAGTGGAACACTCCGAGGTGCTTGACGGATTGGCCTTGCATCGCCAGTATCAATGCGATGTTTCACAACGTTAGTCCTGCCTGGTGTGTTCCCATCCTTGTCGAATATGTTGGAGTATCTGCGGAGAAGTTCCTTAGCTTTGTGCTGGTATTTTTCTTCCAACCCTTCCGTCCAAGCATTTATGTCTTCCGCAATGTCATTCTCGCCAATGGAATCTCTTTCAGGTAATTTTTCCCAGCTGAAGATTGCTTCTACCTCTCGACATTGAACTAGTACGGGCACTCTTCGGAGTTTGACTGGTGATTTGAACTCATTGAGCACTCGAACTGGGATGCGTCCATCTTTTTGCGTCTTAGCCAGGGTTTTACCAATAAGTACGTCCGGTGTGGAATTTTGTGTTGCTTCAACAACCCACAATTTGTTTGTCCCACAATCTCCATCAGTCTTCGCTCACACAACTGCTTCTGACTTCGGTGGAATCTGCACGCTTTCCTCTAGGATCACTCGCTTGCTGCTGTACAGACCATCATACCCAACGCTAAGGGGCACTTCCATGTTGTCGTACTTCATGATCCTGTTCTTCATGCCGATCTTCATACCTTGATCAAATAAAAAGTTTAATCCAATGATGACTTCATCCATAATCGCCGCGACTATGAACTTGTGTAACACCGTCACGTTCCCTATTGCGACTT